TGCCAATGTGAAATACTGGAATGCTGCTGGATGTACGCAACCCGATTCGACACATACTGCATCAGATTGCTTGGTGACTTACGAATCCAAGAGAGAACTATACTAGAGTCGCTCTAATATATGCATTGGTCTTGGCTGAGCTGAAGAACTTCTCGAGCGTTCAGCATCGTAGTAACCAGCAAGTGTGCAGCGCATAACTCCAACCTGGGAATGGTTATAGCTTTTAGTGGACTAACCTTCGTTCGTACAGCCACCAGCCCTACTCGGACTGTCCCATCAGTGTCAATACTTCGAGCATAAATGACGGCTGCATATGCCTTGCAGACTTCGCCATTCCGATCCAACGAGGTATGCGGAGCTCCGCGACGGCTGGTATAGCGCTTCGAAATTTAAGCCATTTCTCGCGGAGTTCGGATGATAGAGGTGTGTCCCAATCGATCTTAGCCGCCCATGTCAACTGCATCAATATCTTAGCTGTCACTGATACCGGCGCCAAGAGTCCCAGGGGGTCAAAGATTTTAGCCACTTCGCTCAACACCTGGCGTTTAGTAGGAACCGGGATGATTGCGTCTAATCGTACTTGGAAAAAAAGCTCGTCAGTAATCGGAGCCCAGTGCAGGCCCAACACTTTCGCATCAGTGGCCCCTAAATTTAGGTCTGAACTTGACGACCCTAAGCCACATGTGAAAAGAACATCTGCCGCGTTCGAGTTCCACTTGCAAAGTCTAAACCGACCATGTTGCAAATATCGTTGTGATGTCTCTAGCTTCAGGTGGCAGCTTCCGATGGAGTATTCATGCTATCAAGAAGGTCATCCATATAGATATTACGCATAATACTATCTCGGGCCTTTGCCGCTCGAGCCTCATCAGGAACCGCTGATTGGTTTTCATTGGCACTCCGCTCCAAGACGCGTGCCGCGTTGAAAGGACCATACCGTAAGTTAACGTCGTTAACTGATACATACCGAGAGGATCACTTGGGCTTTCCCGCCAGAAAATTTGCTGCCAACATCTATGTCTGGAATCAACTTCGATCTGCCGAAACATCTTCTCGATGTCAGCAGTGATAGCTATATGGAAACGACGGTACCGAAGAAGAATGGCGGCAAGAGGATCCTGGACGGGCGGACCAACTAGCTGAGTATCGTTTAAGGAAACGCCATTGCTTGTCTTCACAGAGGCGTTGAAAACTACCCGGAACTTCGACGTGACGACATGGTGGGGTATATAATATACTTGGGATGGGTCGCCTGGTTGCGGTGTTATCTTCTCCATGTGCCCGAGTGCCTCATAGTCGCGCATGAACTGAATATATTTGTTACGTAGCTCATCATCATTACTCAAGCGGCCTCAAGATTGAGGAATTGGTTAAATGCCTTGACATATGAATTGCCAAGAGCTGATGCATTCGGTGAAAATGGGATTTGTACTACGTATCGGCCATTGCTCTTGCGCGATACCGTTTTACAAAAAATCTCTTCGCTAAGGTCGTCAACAGCTGGGGGTCGGCCATCCTCCTCCAGCTCCCAGAAACGTTGCAGTATCTCATCTAGTCGCTCCTCTTCCGCTGCGAATTTCGGTAACGCGCGTAAAGTTGGAAGCGACGTACAGCGTGGGAACGCAGGTCCGCAAATGCCCCACCCCAGACGGGTGGACAGGGCGCACGGATCTTTAGACCCACCAGTGAATGTTTCCCCCAGGAGGAACATACCCCAAATGTCCGTTCCAATGAGAACATCGATGCTCCCTGGAGTGTGAAACGTGGGATCGGCTAGTGGTATGTCTTGCAAATGTTGATAGTGGTTAATGTCTATTGGCGACGCAGGAATCTCCGAAGTTATTTATGGTAGGATATGAGCTTCAATATGCACTCAAACGTGGCATCGTGGTATGAGCGCATCACCAGAGTCGCCTGGCCACGCGACGAAGTCACCCTCTGAGAGCCAATTCCTTCTACCGTAAGCGTGTTCCGTCTTCTGTGGAGACCCAAGTGGTTGAAAAATCGTTCTGTAATGAGGCTTACCTGTGAACCCATGTCGCATAATATACGGCAGGCTACTTCTTCGCCCACCTTGTCTATAAGTGGAGCTCTAGCTGTGGCCAGAAGGACGGTCCCCTCAGATTGCGCCAGGAGAGACTGCACCGCATCTATGCGTAATGGCGCCGACAGATGTTTCAAATGTGGGGGCTGGTCGCGTTGGCGCACTGGTGGTTGCAGGTAACTTCTCGTTGCATGAAGAAGCCTTACAAAGCAAGGTGTTTTGTTTCTGTTTGCAGTTGTGGCAGGTTCCTGAGCTGCACTCTCGAGCCGAGTGGCTAGTTCTGAGACAATTATAGCATAAAGATGCTTGCCGCACCAGGTTCAAACGTTGATCTGCAGTCAGGATTTTCACCGAGATGAGCCCGTTTTTCTTTAAGATAGGCCTTCAATTGAGCTTTTATTTCAAATTTTTTAATGTCTCCAGATTTTACATTCGGGCCTTTGCTTGCGCTATAGGAATCTAAAATTATTTCTAGGTTGCTTATACGACTTTTAGCAGTACCTGTTAAAGGCCCATCAATGTTGCTTGATATACTACTTAACC